TCTCCAGATCCCAACCCTTGACTCTTCTCCAGATACCAACCCCGTGGATTCCTTCTCCAGATCCCAACCCTGTGATTCCATCCCCAGATTCCAACCCTGTGGATTCCTTCTCCAGACCCCAACCCTGTGATTCCTTCTCCAGACCCCAACCCTGTGATTCCTTCTCCAGATCCCAACCCCACGATTCCTTCTCCAGACCCCAACCCTGTGATTCCTTCTCCAGATCCCAACCCTGTGATTCCTTCTCCAGATCTCTGCTCCTGCTGCTGTGACTCTCCACACCTTTCCCTGCTCCATGGCACCCCTGGCTGAGCTGGAGGCTGGGAGATGGGAGGAGGCCTGACCTGTGCCTGGGTCTCCATTAAAGCCCCCATGAAATCAGGTTGCAGCTGCTGCCCTGTGCCATTCCCGCCAGGATGAGCTGAGGAAAACCCCAAACTGTGCAGGGACGGGGCCACTGAGTGCTGGTGGGGCTGGGGTGGAGAAGCACCAGAGCTCCAGAACATTCCCTGCAGAGAGCTGAGAGGGCTGATCCCCTCCTGCAGCTGGTGGAATGAGCTGTATTCCCAAAAATCCCAAAGAATTGCAAAGAATCTCAAAGAATCCCAAAGAATCGTGAAGAATCCCAAAGGATCACAAAGAATCGCAAAGAATCCAAAAGAATCGCAAAGAATCGCAAAGAATCCCAAAGAATCCTAAAGAATCCCAAGGAATCCTGAAGAATCCCACTGTCACAGGAGAAAGCAGCACATGGGGACATGGCAAGAGGGATCTGTGATGGGAACGGTGACACCTGAGCTAATTCATCCCCTCTCCATGGACAATGAGATCCCAACACACAGAAAGTGCTGAATTAAGCACAGCCTTCCATAGAAAAGATATAAAAACAGATACAAGAATATAGATAAAAATATCTATTAAAAATATGACCTCAAACTTCCTGGATGGTCACCGTGGAAAATGGGACATGGGGAGGAGACCAGAACAGGAAATAGGATGGACAAACTTCCTAGGAGCAGGACAGAAATGTGAAATATTCTTTAGTCCTTGGGGATGGGACCTGTGTGGAGCACAGAGCTGCATCTGAATGAGAGGGGATGGTGTCACTCCCCTGTCACCTCCCCCTCTCTGGTGCCTCCTTGGGCAGTCCCTGAGCAAGGACTTGGAAGAATTTTGCTGCCCACCCCAAAGTTTGTCCAGAAAAAGGAAAGGAATTTTGGTTTTTGGGCTGAGAATGTGCACAAACGTCCTTTCACTGCTCTCTGGAGCTTCTGCCAGGCTCCTGAGCAGGGCAGGGACCAATTTACAGCCCAGGTGAGGAGTGGGGTGGGCTTTGCAAAGCCCTGGCTGGGGATGTGCAAGTGTTTTTCACACTAAATTAATCAATACCTGAGTATCAGAAATCCCTTTGAAGCCAAGTYCAGTGTAACAGAAGGATCGAGCAGGAAGTTTCCTTGGGGTTGCACAAATCCCTCAAAACGCCTTTTGTCCARAATCTCCCAGTGTATGGCTCCTTGTTGTGAACCAAATGAAGCCACGTGGTGAGTGAAACTGGGTTAAATATCCTTGAAACGTCCTAAATAAAAACTCTGCATGAACTGTAGGCGTGAAATCACTGCTGGTACAAACACCTGCCACGATGGCCATGGGAAATGATCAGCTTTGGGGGAAATGTGGCTGTGGGAAATGATCAGCTTTGGGGGAAA